TATATCTGCTAATTTTTAACTAAATCCGTTCATACTCACGAATAACCTTCCACGTATTGTTGTTAAAGGATAAGAGAAATGTGCTATAGCTGTTTAAATTTCATTTATTTTCATTTCTCAAGTACTTTCGATCTTCTTCCAAGAACATCTTCAGGGGTGCAAGTAGTACAAAACTATATATTGTTCATTAGTACAAGTATTTATACAAAGCTGTACGTTGCTATCCATTAACGTAATTTTTCATTATGCTTTTAAATGCAAACGGTTGACAATGAACGTGAAAAAATTATCCATTATGAAATTTTTTCCTCTATGTATGTATAAAGATACATATATACGAGTAAAGTCATAAGGGAAAACTTATCTTGTTGTGGAACTGAAGCCCCTGTGAATAACAAATAGATTAAAAAAAAACAAAAACAAAAAAAAAACCAAAACAGCGAATGGAAATAATATTCAATAACAGTGATTTTTTTATAAAACAACAAATTTTGGTATTGGATGAATGAGTAAAATTTCCTCGTGTTCAAAAATGTCTGTACAAGTGTTAGTAACAAATATCAGATTAATTTATGTGCATTCTATTTTTGTTTTTTTTTTTTTTTTTTTGTTTTTTTATTCAATGTTCAGTGAAAGAAAAATAGTGTATAATATCTCTGAAGTTGTGTGTATGAGAAAAAAAAAAAGAATATTTCTAACAGTCGAGAAAAATCAAGTCCTACATGTTGGGTACTTGAAAATGTATCAAAGAAATAACCAACATGGCTTCCAGTGGCAGTAGTTGAAAAAAAAAGGACCTTTAAGTTAATTCTGGTTTCCTATATATATGAAACGTAAATATGGAAAACATGATTATGGCGAGCTTAGACATCAAATCTCTTTACACAACCATTATCATCACAAAATGCCACAACATATTGAGAAAACACCTAAAAATGCCACAACATATTGAGAAAACATCTAAAAATGGTGGTTTCTCAATATGTTGTGGCATTTTTAGGTGCTTTCTCAAGGAAATCTTTCTCTACCCGTCCACAAAATTAAAAACTTTGAAAACTAATCACTAACCACTGCTTCTTCTCTACACACACCCAAACCATATATATATACATATATATAATATATATATATATATATATATATATATATATATATATAGTATTACTTTAAACATTATATTTAATGAATACATGGTTTGACATGGTTTTCATGCTTTTTTAAAAACAGTTTAAATTAGGTTTACCGACCTGCACATTTGAGAGTCTTAATAAAGAAATTGTGTTTTCCAGCTGGGTTTGAATCTGCGAAAGGAAAACCATGGTTTAATTTAGACTGCAAAGAGCTTTATAGCTCAAGCCAGATTCAGTTATCCTTTTGAGGAATACACATCTCTTGAAACCCATAACTGGTCATTTTACTTTTGTCGACAAAACGTCATTTCTAAGGATTTTAATCCGACATTATTTCTTATTACTCAACCGGTGCGCCCGGACGCACTAATGCGCCCCGAAAGTTGCGCCCCAAATTAATTGAAGGGAAATTTATGAATTATTTATATATCTAAACAAAAAATCTTTATTTTTAAAAAAATTAGATGCACCAAGTCGTTTGATATTTTAAACAGAATGCTTAATTCCTTCATCTTTAAGGAGTAGATTGTTCTTTCCTTTTCAAGAGATTTAACTCCGTCATTATCAGCGTCTTTAAAAAAAAAAAAAGAAGATTTTTCATAAATCCCTTTAAATGAAACTTTACCGCTAATCTGCTTTTAAAATGTTAATGAAAGTATGTTTATCACATATAAGGCTGAACAGTCAAAAATTACTAAAACACATCAACGTTTTCACACAAGCATACTTAAATATACAATGTAATGTCTTAAAAATAAAGATTATTTCAGGAGAATTCTTTATTTTCCTATTTTCCAAATTCTTGACTAATTATCCTTATTAAAAGTTAAAGTGCTTCCTATAAGAAGTGATTTCTACAAGTAAGTTCTGAATTAAAAATGGTTGAGAAACACTGACCTATATGCTAATAGCCAATACTTTAGGTTTGTCGTGTCCACTAAAATTTCAACTACAATATTTATAAACCAATCACACTCAAGAAAACACTTACATCTTAAAACACACCAATAAAATCATAGATTACAAATCAGAATGTTTGTTGTATTAGTCATCATCATTTTTAGGTAGATACCGACCAAATATCGTACGGACGTAGTAGAAGACATACAACGTGACTTCTTAAGACCAATTGGGAATAAATAAATAATTTAATTCTGTAGCCGATATTGTTCGGAAAAAGTGTATAAAAACATACGAAATCCATTCCCAAAACAATATACACGCAGATGTCACCAAACTACACACACATCTCACTGATGACCTTCATGACCTCATATTAAAAACGACAGCGTTGACAAACTCCAGACCAAAGTAACACCGCCAACAGTAAGAAACAATTCGTATCTCTTGTATCCGTCTTTACTATGAATCATGCACACACATGTTGACTTTTCATACAAACACACACACATATAACAACATTTTATTGTTTCTCACACACGTACACAAAGACAGTTTATATTTTATTTCAGAACTTTATTAGCCCAAACAAAAAGACATTGCTTTCCAATCTATCATCAACTTTTTGTATTCCTATCGTTATATTAAATTAATGTTTATTTGTTGAAATTACGTTGTCTTTTCTACTGAATTTTATTCCTTCAATGAAAATCGTGTGATTATTCCAGACGGCCAAATTACGAGCGACCCTGTAACGATATTTTGTTAATGTCTCGAATCTCGACACTCCAAATTTTAACATTCAACGAAAAACCGAGTAGGATTCCTACAGGTTTTTGAAAATTTTTTTTTTTTTTTTTTTCAGTACCAATGTAAACAGAAGATACCAAACTGAGAAATATGTAGATTACCTGTGTTAATCTGACGGATTATTTATCGAGGCAGGATTAAGTAGGAGTGTCATCTGCATGAATACCTACTTGATAACTGATAACATCGGGGAGATCATTGATGAAGACCAGAAACAGCTTAGAACCCAGGATAGATCCTTGGGGTAAAGCCGCTTTCATGTAACAGGATCTGGAAGTGAGTGCGTTCAAAATGACTTTCATTTCACGATTTTATAGGAACGATTGTATTAAATCAATCATTCGTCCTGTGACACCATATTGCCCTGGAGCTTGTGTAGAAGGCCAGCAATGCTAAACCGTGTTGAACCCCTTCGAGACATCTACAACCACAACTCGAGCATCGTTGTTCTTATCTAGAGCTTGATATACAAATTCAGTGATGGTCGTTATCACATCAACGGTAGACCTGGCGAAATGGAAGCCATTATAGGATACAAATCCTATATTCCAACAAATGACTAAAAAAAAAAAAAAAAACACAAAGTAGATTTGCACACCCGCAAAATCGGATCAAAACGACCAAAAACAGATTTCACAATAAGGTGTGAAATTAATTTTTCTGACCAATGAAAGGAGGCGATTTGCTAAACCAAAAAAAAAAAAAAAAGATAACGAGCCAGTGTGAAAAAAAGTCAACAATAAATACAGAGTTTTTCAAGTCAGTCGCCAGTCAGTCAGTCAGTCAGAGAAGGGCGCAAAAGATCACAGAAGATTGACAGTAATTTTCATCACTGACTCAAACTTACACAAAAGCCGAAAAGTGGAGTAGGAAGGAACAACAACAACAACAACAACAACAAATTTACAACTGACTTCAAAACAATTCATAAGTACATTTTCCTTTTTCTTTATTCCCCATTCAACATTCTCTTTTTCAACTTAAATTGCTCGCCCTTTTTCATTTTACAACTATACAAAAGAAACAGACATTATTCTGCTACTCTGTTAAACACAGACATTTTATCAAAATCAAATTTTTGCTTAAACGAACTAAAACAGTAATCTTTTTACCCTATTCACAAAGATAATATACAATGTTCTATTTTTATAAACGTTCCTTATCGTGTTGTTTCTTCTTGAAATTTGCGTTGTATTTTGTGGGCAGGGTATCCCGTATTAAATTCTCCTTTAATCCGGGTACGCTGAACCCCACACCATATTGTTTGTCCGAGTGGAGGTCGCGTGAAGTATGATGCTTAACCATCTTTTAAATTTAACCAGGCTTTCTTATATATTCTTATATAGTCAATACTTTGTATCCTGAGTATGATGGTAAACTACATCCGGCAGCAAGGCTTTCATCAGGAGTTTGGAGGTTTTGAGGAGCAAACCTCTTAATTGCTGTTGTTTCCAGGCCCACCCTGATCCGGGGTGGTAGCATCTGTTAGGGTCCCAGTTACGGGCAAATAATGAACCCCCAAACAAAAAGAAAACCCTATGAAAATATAAAATTACATTTTTATAGTAAAAATACTAGCAGTACATTTTTATATATATATAAAAATTACCAACAACACCTACTTATAGTAAAATTACCAAAAAATACATTTTATTTGTAGTTGAAGACATACAAATGCGTCCAAAATATTTAAATTTCGCTATTTAAATAACGCGCAGAAGTTTATATGGCGCTAAACAATCAGCCAACCAATCAACATAAAACTGTATTCCAAAATATAACATCAACAAAACTACAACATAAAACATACATATCACCACCTCCAGTAATCATATCCACACAAACACATATATGCGCAAAAAGATGAGTATCATCTACCATGTATTCAACTGTGAAAGCAGAATAACGTATATCATATTTTTATTACTTCCAAGCTCCCAAGAAAATGAACTTTCAGCATTAAATGACCCATAAGGTGTTGATATGCCGTTAATCAAATCAAATCAATACTTTGGGGTTTTAGAACATTTTTTTTTTTTTTTTTTTTTTTTTTTTTTTTTTTTGGTTTTTAACGACCAATGACAACTGCGGTTAACAAAATGAGAAAAATGTAGATTACCTGTGTTCAGAAAAGTTTTCAGCTGGTGTTGTTGAAACTTCAGACTTCAAGGTTAATTCATTCTGGAAATATTAAATGCAATTCGTATTTATCACATGTAGAAAAAATAATTTATGAGAAACCTTTGTGCAAATGAATATCAACAAAAAAGATTATCTAGCTAAATCCCTTAAAAAAATCCACCTCCTTAGTGTCATTACTTAACAGTGGAGAATAGGGCCACAGCCTCACTACGGTATAGCTACAGCCTTGCTACGCTAGATGTTGCTGCTGTGGTTTCGGTAACAAGTAGGTTTCTACATAATGGAGTTGTCAGCTCCATGCCCAACCGGTTTTGAATTCAGTGTTGTCTTTCTTCAAGACTGGTTACTAACCAAGGCTAGAAAGTCCAGTCTGCCCTGCTATTTAACTGAGTGAAGAAAAGATGGATGCATGTACCTCCCAAGAGTATTTGTGTAAAAGTGAACGCAACAGTTGGAATTTGAACTCAGCATGCGAATCCCATTTTCTGAACTGATAACTGCAATGCGATGTGCACGTCCTTTGAAAAAAAAAATTAACCTTTTGTTTTCTTTTAAAAAAAAAAATCCTTTCATCCCCAGTCAAGTCGACAGTGCTGCTAGAACGGAGGTGTTTAGAGGGAGTGAATGTGAATGAAAAGATTGAAAGTGGGGAGGATTGAGAAAAGGTTAAAAAAAAACTAAGGAACAGGCTTCAAGAAGACAGAAGATGGCGATTGACGTTGCATTTAAATTTTTGAAGATTGTAGTTGTCAGGGAAGCAAGAAATCAGAACGGATTTCCACATGAGTGTTCATTCTCAACTAGATGAGTATGTGAATAACTGGCGCAAACAGTTTGAACATTTGAAGGATTGATATGTTTATTATTGATCTGTTTACTATTGTGTTTGTATAATCAGTACAATACGTCTAGAAAGGGTTACTGAATGAGAAATAACTAAAACGGAAATTGGAAATGAAATGGAAATCTTTATAACATCAGCAAAATACAATACTCGCCAGCGGCGTGAAGTAGGTAAACCACTGCTAGTGGTGGACTACTTAGACATCATATTACTCCCCCACACACTTACAATAGTATCCAACATATTTACAAGGATTGGGACATAGGTACGGTATATAGCAGTTTTGTGTGCACGTTTTAGTTTTCATTACTGCATAACTACTTTTGCGACCATTTTGTTTAAAGTTCATATTTTCTTAACTTCAGACGAAAACTTGGAAACTTTCCAATATATGTCAATGAAATTTTCGATTTCTAAAATTAGTTTATTTATTTATTTTTAATTTTTTAATCATTTCACCCCCAAGCAAGACGATAATTCCACTAAGACGCAAGGTTTTACCGAAGGTAAAGGAAAATGAGAAGACTTTAGCAGAAGGAAACGGAAGTTCGGTCCTAAACAGGAAACTTGGTTAAACCTCTTTCCTGTTCAAAATATATGTCGGTGATTGAAACCTATCGATTTTGAGGAAAAAATTAAATGATTTAAATTTAGGTTTAGTTTTTAATGTTTTTAATCATTTAGAAGGAACTGGAAACCCCCAAGCAACAAGGGATAAATTCCTGTTCAAAAGACAGGGGAGGAAACAAGTTGGTTTTAGAAGGAAGGTAAAGGAAAACTGGGAACAAGGATAAACCTTTCCTGTTCAAGAAGGAAACGGAAGTTAGAGTTCCTAAACTTTAGAAGGAACCGGAAACACAGTTCTAAACAAGGGATAAACCTCTCCTGTTCAAAAGGACCGGGAGGACGTTGAACTTGGTGACTTTAGAAGGCGGAAAAACCTAAAAGAGGAACAAGGGATAAACCTCTACTCCCTATTGAGGAAAAATTATAAATGATTAGTAAAGCTGGAAACCCAATCCTAAACAGGGATAGGATTTAGTGTTTTCAAAAGACCGGGAGGAGACGTTGTTAGAGTTGAAGTAGACTTTTTAGGGGAAGGAACTCCTGTTCAAAAACCCAATAGAGTTAAACAGGGAACAAGGGATAAACCTCTACCCCTGTTCAAAAGACAGGGAGGAGACGTTAGAAGTATAGAGTTGAAGTAGACTTTAGAAAACAGGGAGGAAGAGGGTTACTCCTGTTCAAGAGACTGGGAGAAACGTTGAAGTATAGAGTTGAAGTAGACTTTAGAAGGAAGCGGAAAGCCAATCCTAAACAATCCTGGAGACTGGGGAGGAAACGGGATAAACACTTTAGAAGGAAGCGGAAACCCAATCCTAAACAGGGAACAAGGGATAAACCTCTACCCTGTTCAAAAGACTGGGGAGGAGACGTTAGGTATAGAGTTGAAACGTTAGAAAGCCAATCCTAAACAAGGAACAAGGATAAACATTTACTCCTGTTCAAGAGACTGGGGAGGACTTTAGAGTTGAAGACTTTAGAAGAAGCGGAAAGCCAATCCTAAACTGGGAACAAGGGATAAACCTCTAATCCTGTTCAAGAGACTGGGGAGGAAACGTTAGAAGTATAGAGTTGAAGTAGACTTTAGAAGGAAGGAATCCCTAAACAGGGAACACACAGTTCAGGGGAAGACAAAGGATTAAACTTTAGAAGGAAGCAGAAAGCCAATCCTAAACAAGGAACAAGGGATAAACATTTACTCCTGTTCAAGAGACTGGGGAGGAAACGTTAGAAGTATAGAGTTGAAGTAGACTTTAGAAGGAAGCGGAAAGCCAATCCTAAACTGGGAACAAGGGATAAACCTCTAATCCTGTTCAAGAGACTGGGGAGGAAACGTTAGAAGTATAGAGTTGAAGTAGACTTTAGAAGGAACCGGAAACACAGTTCTAAACAAGGGATAAACCTTTACTCCTGTTCAAAAGACAGGGGAGGTGACGTTAGAAGTATAGAGTTGAAGTAGACTTTAGAAGGAAGCGGAAACCCAATCCTAAACAGGGGAAAAGGGATGAACCTCTACTCCTGTTCAAAAACTGGGGAGGAGACGTTAGAAGTACAGAGTTGGTAGACTTTTAGAAGGGATGAACCTAAACTGGGGAACAAGGGATGAACTCCTGTTCAAAAGACCGCTGGGATTGTCAACAGGGTGATAGGTGAATCTATCTACTTCTATTATAATTATAGTATACACAAGAAGTCCTGAACCTTTTTTGTCGAATGCACCCTTTCCACAATGTCAGAATGCGATTCCCCCCTTTTCTAAGATTATTCAACTCAAAAGATGCATTCCAAATAATATACATATATTATTGAAAATATTTTTTTTTTATCCATATTAGTACATATTCATTTACATGGATTATTTTTTTTTTATAGAAGACTTTTACAAATTTAATAACAATAGAAAATAATGATGAATATTAAACTCGAATACATGCAGAGTTGATGCGTACTACCCAGACTCACTCACCCTAAGAGAGTCAAGTCTGATTGGGGGCCTGGTCAGTGTTTTATGACCCTCGCTATCTTAACGTTTGCTTTTTTTTCTACCTATATTTATATATGTTAGAAATAAAACTAAGCACAACTATTAAAGGATGAAAAAATTTAACGTCATTCTGGGCTCCTTATATTTTCCGTTCAAATCTGTGAATGTGTTTTGTTCATGCTAAGTTTAAAAAAAAACACGATATAAAATTCACTATTGTTTATAATGTTGACTTTTGAATGTATTAAAATTATTCAACATTTAAACAAGAAAAATCTCAAGTTGATGTCAAAAACTGCCGCAAAACATGGTTGATTTAAGATGGAATGATCTATTTATGACAGGTCTCTAATTTCTAATTAGATACATTGTATTTATTTCCAATTTTCGTAGTTGAATTGTTCACCTAGATGATCCATTATTGTATATAATAAGGTTAGAATAAAATTTGTATTTTAAATGAATACTACCTTATGAAAATTGAGACGTAATGGACTAGGGGGGTGGGGCATGAATACATGGTGATTTTATAAGCATGGCTTAGATGTGTCACAAGACTGAAATTATGGGGCACTCAGTGATGATCAAACTCACTACTCAGTCGTAACTAATCTAGCAAGACAAGCTTGCTAACCATTACACCACGTCGAGGTGCCCCTCTCCCTGAATACATGTACAGTAATTTGTTTTAATTCATAACTAGTTATTAAATAAATAAACTGAAGAACACTTTATTAAATGAAAAGTTCAATAGAATGCCAGGGTATTGGAATTCAATAAACAAAAAGTTTCATAAAATATCAGAGTATTTAAATCGATTTTATTTTGATAATGATTACAGTCCATGAGAAACTTGTGAAAAAATAAAAGATTTTTCCCCTCCCTCCCTAAAACTCTGAAATCCCCCCCACCCTCGGTGGAACTTCCTCATGCCTCCAAGAGGTTGAGAACCTTTGATTTAGATATATGACACTAGCTTAAACCGATGCCAGGTAGTTATGGGTTACAATTGATTTGGTAAGAACAGAATAAAGCTTGTAGTGATTAAAGAAAGCCTAGTTGCATTTCAGGAACGTGGTAACTGACCTGCATAGTTTCTTTTGGTGTTGGGCTGAACTGACTCTTCAACGTGTTGAGCTGAACTGATTCCGTAACGTCTTCGGCAACCAAATGGTACAATGAAGAAAATGTCACAGGTTCATCAACACTAAGTCTCTCTGGCACTGAAAGGAATCAATTTAAAAAGAATATACTGGTGTTTTTTGGTAAAGAATTAATGCATTTTAAGCGTTTAGAGTTATGAAAGAGGAAATTATTGCATCACTGTCACAGTTATAGGCACGAAAAATGGAATTGGCAAACAGAGCTCAAATTCTAGCCTAAGCTGTTTCATTCACTTTTGCACTAATGCCCTTAGGAAAGGCATGACTCCATTTCTTCCACCCCTCACTAGCTATAGATTAAATAGTAAGGTAGATTGGGTGGGAACCAGTCAGGGAGAAGAATCATTGCGAAGGCAGAACGTACTTGTATCCTGAATGTTTTCAATGTAAGAGTGTAAATGGCATTTTTCTATTCCCTCCACATATATATATATAATTAATTCATCGAGTCTGATAGAAACCTCAACAGAATGCAGAAAGCACTGGACGGCCGTTTCGTCCTATATTTGGGACTCATCAGCAGTGCGCATCCACTACCGAGAATTGAAACCCTGACAGTTAGGTTGTCAAGCAAACATCATGCCAACTGTTCCAATGGGCCTTGATAACGGAGTGTTTTCAAATCAGACTCAATATAGCGCCACTCGCTCACATATTCCGATTGCTTGAACCGGCTTCTAATGCTCTAGAGTGAGCGCCTTGGTGAGAAGCAATAGTAGCTTAATTTATGACGTTCTGAATTTAAGGAGAGACAACACGTTCCTTCAAAGCTCAAAAAATTAACGGATTCCAAGTTCAACCGAAAATAAACAAAAAAAAAATCCATAAATATTGGTCTATGTATGTAAGTATATCATAATCATAGTTTGCCTATGTGGGATTCAGATTATAATGTATATTCGTGTGTGTGTTGTGTGTGTGTGTGTGTGTGTGTGTGTGTGTGTGTGTGTGTGGTAGACATTGTTTATGTTTGGTGATTATCATCCGCAGGTTTGTTTGGGACGTTTTTTAAGGAAACAAACTCATGTAAAAATAAAGTTTGGTGGAGGGAGTCAAGAACTTCCTGGAGGCGATAATATAGATTTTTGTATAGAATTTGTATGAGTGTTTAAAAGAACAATTCTTTTACATAAATATAAACAAAAAGAAAAAAAGAAAAAAGAGAAGTCTTACGTTTTGATGAATTTAAAACACTTGAAGACTCTTCTGTACCCAGTGTTTTCCTCTGTTCGGAATTGTCTTTTCTTTCTGATGGCTCTGTTGTATTCAGTGGCTCCTGTTCCCATGTGATCGGAATTCGGCGATTTTTTTTTACCAAAAGACGTTCTGCGTAGGATAGTGTGTGACTCTGGGTATTGTCCATCAGAGAAGCAAGACCGGCTGTCACCGCCGTTGTACTTGTGCTGCTGTTAGTGTAAACGCCTATCAACATAGAAGGATGAAACCAAAGGATGAAAAATCTCAGGATTTCCGATAACTTTTCAATGTAGAATGTTTCGTTTTATTATTATTATTATTATTATTATTATTATTAGTAGTAGTAGTAGTAGTAAACCTCATATTTTCAGAATGAATTTAAAATCCATTAAGAGATTACAGCCACATCACTAAGCAACGTCGAATTTGGTCAGTACCTAGATGGGTGACCGCTTGGGAATACCAGATGCTGTAATCTTGGATGTGCGGATGGTATAATGGGCTTACGTCCAAATCATGTTGAAACATCGGTTCCCGTTCGATTACCGAAGTTAAGCAACGTCGATCTTGGTCAGTACCTAGATGGGTGACCGCTTGGGAATACCAGATGCTGTAATCTTGGATGTGCGGATGGTATAATGGGCTTACGTCCAAATCATGTTGAAACATCGGTTCCCGTACGATTACCGAAGTTAAGCAACGTCGATTTTGGTCAGTACCTAGATGGGTGACCGCTTGGGAATACCAGATGCTGTAATCTTGGATGTGCGGATGGTATAATGGGCTTACGTCCAAATCATGTTGAAACATCGGTTCCCGTACGATTACGATTACCGAAGTTAAGCAACGTCGATCTTGGATATTGCGGATGGTATAATGGGTCAGTATGTTGAAACATCGGTTTCCCGTACGATTACCGAGTTGGGTGACGTCGATCTTGTAAATATGGGTTGCTTGCAAATACCAGTTGCTGTAAGCTTGGATGTGTGGATGGCGTAATGGATAACAGCTCGGAATTTTTAATCTGAGAGCCGAGTTCTAATTCCAGTTGGGTTTGTTATATTCACTTATGCGTAAATAACCTTGGGAAAGGTATGAATCCACCTCTTCTCCTCCTAGCTATGGATTAGGTAGTAAAACTTGTATCACTAAATCATTATCTCAAAAAAAAAAATTCTTGCAATCTAAAAATATTTTCTGGCTTTAAATAACCTGCAAAGGGTTGATAAGCCATAAAAAATTCATTAAGGATTGAAGGTATTTTCCAGGTTTTTTATTGAATGCATGCAGTTGGTTCATAGATGAACTATGGTATTATATTTTACTCATAAGCAAAAAAAGGATGTGTGGTTGGTGTAATGGAGAACGGTTTGGAAGAGACATCGACAGAGCAGTGTTCGAATTTCAGTCAGTTTCGTTACATTCATTTAAACACAAATACCCTTGAGAAAGTTATGAATCCATCTCTTCTCCCCACAGCTGTGGATTAAAAAGTAGGATAGACTGGGCCCTATAGCCTTGGTTGGCAACTAGTCTACCACAGAAAGAAACGGCAACCTACCATGGGAAAATCTTCTGCCTAGTGAGTCTTGAATTGAAAGGGACATAATCGCAGTTAACTGTCTGACATAAGCAAAAAGTTTTCATAAAAAAAAAAACTTTGAGATCATTCATTTTGAGTTCTTGAATGGCTAGTCACCCTTATTTCTTGTAAGGGTAAAAACACTTACCAATAATCATAAAGTTCGAGTTCATGCCTTTCGAGGAGTTTTCTTGGTATCAGCTGGGGGCCTTGATCAGCACCTTCAGCCAGATGGGAGAGTGACATCATTTCCTCTTCCACCCAAGGCAATCCGTATGGCCTTGCTTCTTCGTAAATTTAATAAAAGTATGACACAACATCAGCAGGAGTCATTGATGTCTCCATGATGACTGACAACCACAGAACGGAGCGAAAGATCTCTTCATGAAGAAAGCGGTTTTATGAGCCACAATTGTACGTTAAATATCTGGCAGAGTAAGCCGAGATTTTAAAGGATTAAATTTAAAACCCCTTATTAAGGCCCTTAGTGGTCATATGAAACTTTTTATAAAAAAGAAATATAACAGCTCAGATGAAAATAGCTGAGATATCTTCACTCCGCTAGTAAGTACAAAAGTCATTTTATTTATACAAAATGTTCTGGTAATAATCCCATATCACTTAAACCTACTAATTATGCAATTTAATTACTATTCATTTATGTTTACATCTAACTGTTGTTTATATTGTAAATAAAATGTCGCTTTTTTATTTCTCTTAACATCAAGTGTTTTGTTGTTTGTTTCCTTCAATGTCTTTCTTTACATTCATAACCGTCATATCGAACTTGTCACTTGTTCTCGAACGAAACAAAATTCTCGATAATAATAAACTATTAAGTTGCCCCCTTTTTGTTGATTCCCATAAATGTTCAAGATCACAGGTGCCAACTTCCAGTTCATATAAGCCTACAATTATCATCCATATATAATAAATACTGTATATCTTGTTAGTATCATACCATATATATTGTTTTCTTTGAGTACTGAGGATAACCAATAGGTCACTTCCTTCAATAATATATTCATACAGTAATAGCTGATTGTGGTAGCGATAATGTGAAAGCAACACACCATTGGAGCTCTTGAACACAGACCTAAAACAACAGCTGTTAAGATGCCTTGTAGCTTGTGGTGGAAAGTATGGCTTTTTTTTTTTTGTATGTGAATAGGTATAATAATTTAATAATTAATAATAATTTAATAATTAATAATAATTTAATAATTAATTTAATAATAGGTCCAAAAAACGATAATTTGTTTTGACAGAAAGAAAAATGACACCATAGTGTCAGCTACTTGATTGGTTTAGTGTAGTTTGTTTTGTTTTAAGGCATATCAACTGTAATGGGTCATTTAATGCTGGCAATATTTTTATTGCTCGAAATATTTTTTTTCAAAAATGTATTGCTGTAATATTTTTTTTTTCAAAAATGTATTGCTGGTAATATTTTTTTCTTTAAAAATGTATTGCTGGTAATATTTTTTTCTTAAGAATGTATTGCTGGTAATAATTTTTCCTCAAAAAATGTATTTATAGTATTAAAACCTATTTTTACACTGTCAAAGAGTTTTGTCCTCAGTTTCCATAGCTGGGACCCTAACAGGTGCTACCACCCCAGGTCAGGGTGGACCTGAGAACACCAGCAATTAAGAGGTGATTCCACGCTCCTCAAAACCTCTTGATCAGAGGTCTTGCTGTTGGATGTAGTTTATCGTCTTACCCAGGACACGGATGTAGCTTATCATCTTACCCAGGATGCTCGGCTACTTGAACTTGCTAGTATGGTAAGCTATTAAATCCTCAAATATTTTTTCCCAAAATCTATGCTAACAGTTTCTTTTCTCGCACTTCTCATTTGTGGAACTCTTTTCCGGCTCCATGCTTTCCAGCCAAATTTGATCTTCAACGATTTAAATGCAATGTCAATTGATATCTAATGTCTTTCTGATTATTCTTATTATAATGTTTCTGTTTTCTAATTCTTTCACACTCAGTAACATGTTGTGTCTTAGTGGCTTTACTGCCTTGCTTGGGGTGAATTCAATTAAAAAATAAAATAAAAAAAAACATAATTTTGGTCATTATGCTGTCTGATCCATTTCTGGTGTTTGTTGGTTCAAGTAATCTTTAGGGAATTTTGGACTGATCCATTTATTTAATCTATAGAAGCAGATTGTTCTTGTTCTGTTGTGCATGTCTTGAGATATCTATGGACAGTGGAATAAGAACAAGTTACCTACTGTTGTTCTATCCATGTTTAGGAATATCAAGTTTGGTATTTAATACTACTGAGTTATTGTTTGTTAATATAACGAGTGTACACATGTCATCAAAAATGATGGCATTTGTTAGAAAATTTTAATATTGAAATGCAATGAAGCAAAAAAGATTTGCAACAATGTATTGAAATTCAATAATGCAAAGATAAAGCACATTAGAAGAATAAGTCTAGAGGATTAGAAGTTCAGAGGTTAGGCTGAATAAGTCCAGAGGATTAAAAGAAGTCTAGAGGATTAGAAGAGTAAATCTAGGGGATTAAATGAATAAGTCTATAGGATTAGAATAAATCTAAAGGATTAGAAGGATCTAGAGGGTTAAAAGAGTAAGTTTAGAGGATTAGAAGAATAAATCTAGAGGATTAGAAGGGTAAATCTAGAGGATTAGAAGAGTAAATCAAGGTTTTAAAAGAATAAAGCTAGAGGATAAGAATATCTAGAAGATTAGAACAATAATTCCATAGGATAGGAAGAATAAGTGTAGAGGATTAAAAAAATAAGTCTATAGGACTATAAGAAGTCCAGAGGATTAGAAGAATAACTCTATAGGATAGGAATAATGTCTAGAGGATTAAAAGAATAAGTCTAGAGGATTAGAAGAAGTCCAGAGGATTAGAAGAATAACTCTATAGGATAGGAAGAATAAGTGTAGAGGATTAAAGAGTAATTCTTGAAGATTAGAAGACTAAATCTCGAAGATAAGAAGAGTAAATCTAGGTGATTAAAAGAATAAGGCTAGTGGATTAGAAGAATAAATCTAGAGGATTTGAAGAATAAATCTAGAGGGTTAGAAGAGTAAATCTGGTGGATTAGAAGAATAAGACTAAAGGATTAGAAGAAAACGTCTAGAGGATTAGAAGAATAAGTCTAGAGGATTAATAGAATAGGTCTAAACTATTAGAAGAATAAGCCTAGAGGATTAGAAGAATAATATATCAGATTAAAAGAATAAATCTGTTGGATTAGAAGAATATGTATAGATAATTAAACCTACAAGTCTAGAGTATAAGAAGAACAAGTCTTGGATATTAAACTGTTGGTTTCTGAATAATATAAATAATGGTAACTCCTAATCGCAGAACCTCAGACAAAGACATTTTAAGTGGGTGCTCTTGTGATGAAAGCAATACTTTAATGCATTCACAACATAATCAGTGCAAAATACCTTCATTATTTGTTGGTTTCGGCTGAGACGAAGAGATTTCCGCAGCATGAGACCCAGAAGTTCCAAACCCTATTGATGCGTCTGCTGCTGCTCCTGCAGCCCCAGAAGAGCGGTTGTTCGTTCTCCAAGCCTGTAGGGCTTCCTGGAAGGAAGCGGCACTCTCAGCTTCATTATAATTGCCATCCATAAGAGAAGACACAGCTGCTTCCTCTTCATCCGTTTTCAAGTGACCACTGGCACCAGATGAAGATTTGGCATCACTCTGCTTGGAAATAACAAACGTTTTAAGACTTCTCAAATAGAAGCATTTCATATATTGTTATATTAAATAATCTAATATTACTTTTTTTTACAAAGTTTCATCCAAGACAAGGTTCAAGAGCCAGTCAAGGTAGGGGGTTATAGTTGAAATGTTTATGAGGAATAGTAGGTGGCATGAGTAGAATAGAGGAGATTATGAGGATAAGGGGGATAGATAATGGTTGAAAAGGTCAAAATTAAAGTGTTCTAAGTCTTTAATTGAGTGATTTGTTTTTTTATGACTTATCAACCTTTTGCAGGTTATTTAAAGCCAGAAGATATTTTTATATTGTAAGACTTTTTTCTGAGATAATATTGATTTAGTGGTACACATCTCAGGAGAATAACTATGATTTTTTTCTAGATACAGTTCCAACTATTTAAATTCTGGGAGGGAGAATAACTCGATTCAAACCTTTGCCAAGGGTATTTGCAAGTAAGTGAATATAACAAATCCAACTGGAATTGGGATTCAGTTCTTCGATTTCTAATTCCAAGTTGTCAACCATTAAACCACCGGCACATCCACGCATACAGCACCTGTTATTCCCAAGTGTTCACCCATCTAGATGAGAGCCTGTCCCACAAGGTGTTAGTTCATGGGAAAAGGCTGTCTGAATGGAGTTTTCATCTTACATTTGGAACACGGAGGAGATATTAAGCTATTGAACAAATCATTATTTGATTTTGTAGTGGGTTGGTATTTGTTTTTTTCTCTGGTATCAGAAGATAGTAATGTTGTTGGACCACAATAAATAACGCAAAAACATGGTTGGAAAATTAAGGGTCAATTTTTATTGATGTACGTGTGTGTACTAAACTCAGAGGTAAGTGAGTGATCGACCTCAAGTCAACATGATGTTAAGAGAGGGTGATTGAATCTCCTTTCCTTAGGACTGCTGCAAAATACATCCGAATCCAATGATTCGAAAGTATTCAGAGCCAGATGATCTCCTTTCTGGAAGTGGGGTCACAAACCTTGCACGTGACCGGAAACCCATTTTTGGTTTCCATTTGCATTATGGGAAAATGAAATTATTTATTTATTTTTTTTATGTTTATTATTTATTTAATTTTTATTCTCTCACAATTTTGTCATATTGGGTTGGCCAAAAAATTTGTTTGGTTTATTAAGTAAATTTTCTACTTATAACCCAATAAACTTTTTGGCCACCCCAATATTATTAAAAATTTAAATGCAATGTCAGTTATTCTCTAATGGCTTCTTAATTCCTGTTCTTTTATTGTTCTTTCTCCTTAATAATGTTTTTCTTTTTTTGCATATTCTTTCAGACTCAATAACCCTTTGAATCTTAGTGACTTTATTACCTTGCTTGAAGTGAAATGAACATTGAATGGAGGATAGGATTGTTTTTATGGGTACTTTTTATCCAACATAACCCCGAAGCTACTAAAAATTCAAATCATGTTTGTTAAAAGCTTCATCTCATGTGGATGTTATACATGGCATCCAACTTGTTCAGAAATATCTAGAATATCAGCTATATACAATAGGGCAGGATGATTTTGGAAGTGTGCTATTGCACTCAATTTCAAAGTTAGGATTTGCCATGATAAATACTGACACAATATTTTTTTCCAAATTGTTACTGTTTTTAAAGGAAAGCTGTTTAAAGATTAGGTTTAGTTTCAAAATTGTCAAGTGGGAATTTCATTCCAGTGAAAGCCTTATAGCACAGCCTTATAAAATTTATAATTTTCTCAAGCTTTACACATTGTATGTGGATAAGATGCATGGCACAAGCACATTATTATTAAATCATTGTGCCATAAAATAAGACCATCACTTACTTCAAAGGGAAATTACACTGAACAATTTAGTCATATTATGATGCAATATGTTATACAGTGCAATAGTTTTAGTGAGATTTTCAATAAATAATGCAAATTTATAATATTTTGTCATATAATCTGTGCCCAGCAGGATTATTGCATTATATACACTTTTATCTATTTTTAGTTTTTATTAATTATGATCTATTAAATGATCTAACAAATGGTCGAACAAATCTTATTGATTGAATAGACTTTTTTGTAATATTTTACAATTTTTTACAGTTTTCACTTAATGAATACAGTAAAAAAAATTCATATTTTGCTTGTGGTGATTCATAATTAGAATTCTGGCTTGAATATATTTTCCATTCAATGCATCTAACACAAAATATTAATAGATTAATATAAATATAACTTTATTTAGATTTATTCTTAAAATGGTAAAATTTTGAAGTCCATTTGCAAGCAAATGCCTACAGAAATTAGGTATCTATTCTATTTCTTTTTTAAACTAAATGGTCAAAAATTGTTAAAAGCTATGAATTTAATGTTTGATATCATTACTTATCACATCAAATGTCAGCTTATGCATTGAGTGCAATGTCGATTTTCTAAATAAAAGGGAAAAATTAGCCTGCCCTAATATCCAGCCATTTTCTCATATCTATAATTAAAAATAACTTCAAGATAATGAATCCTATTTTAAAGGCAATACTTTATCAAACCCTATAGACTAGCACTGCAGAATCACAAACAAATAACAAGAACTACATTACTTGATTTGATTTGTTTGTTTAACAGCATGTAGTGGTGCTGTAAGTATTGTTGGCTAAGGTCACCGTGAATATAATAAAGAAGGAAGGCTGTGTTCTTGTAAAACAACACCCCACATGAATAATGCACAACAAATACGAGAGAAAAATAATCAAGCTCAGTGAACATTAATAAAATATTGTATTAACAACTAGCAGTAGAGCCCAGCGTTGCCCGGGGATGTAACAGTAAGAGATAGATCAAGTATCGACCATCATAAAGACTGAAAAATAAAATTGACAAAGATTATTGTTTAAGGTTGACGGACACGCATGTCTTAATTAGTTTTTTTTTTTTTACGAATTGGTCAAACCCAAACTCGAACAAAAACATTGTTTACAATCGTTATGAGTCTATCGATTGATGATTAGAATTTTATTATAAACAATTGTCTTGTAAATGGAATTTTTAAAGCATTCTGAATGTAAATAAAAAAAAAAAAGTGTGCAAGACAATAAGAAATACTACCAAAAAAAAAAAGTGGATGTTTGTTTTATCGGCTGAAAATGTAAGAAATCCGATCCCATATATAAAGGAACACACACACACACACACACACACACACACACACACACACAACCTGGGTTTTTTAACCTAAGTCACTCCACGAAATTGCTAAAACATAGAGCATAGTCTGATGAAAAAGACGCTAAAGTTTATGAAAACAAAATTTTATCGTCAAAATGCTTATGTTTTTATGAAGAGGATAGACTAAATTTTTTTTAATTATTTTTTAAAATTTTTCCATCTTTTTAGAATATTCTAAATTTTGATTTAAAAAACCTTGTTTCTCTTTGTCGCAACAAGGGGTAGTAAATAACATAGATAATTTTTAGCGCGTTTTTTTTGTATTTACACATTAATTTGGAAAATCTTGCAAAAATGAAAATAATTGTCAGATGTTAATGAAACTTTCAGAAAATATTCACAGATGATCGAAATTATTATAAATATTTTTTTTTTATTAAAGTCATGGCAGAAATATTTTTTTTATATTTATTAACACCCCCATAACTAATTTTATGAAAAACTCTAGAAATTGAGACCATCGGTTTTAGTGATTACAATAGTTAAAAGCACAAGGCTTTGAAGAATGCAAATCATGTTTTTTTTTTTTTTTTGGCCAGCGTACCTGAAAATCAGCTGTGAATTGTAACATACAAAACTCAATAAAACAAATATATTATTTAGTTTCAAATGCTTTTATTTGTTTTAATTTGTTTTTATGAATATGGACAATATTTTCTGGAAGCAAAAAATTTTTTTAATGAAAATTGAATTTTTAATACAATTATTTCTTATTTCTTTAATTTTAAAAAGATTTTTAAAAAATGTTTAAATTGAATTTTAAAAAATATTTTAACATTAGTTAAATGCAACATCAACCTTTCAAAATGTCCGTGTGAGATTGTCATTGTCTAGCGCTTTGAAAATTGTATAATTTGGACCAATCAGATTAGCCATAGTAATTAAGAAATGTAATTTTTGTGTTTATAGTCACAGTAATTATCAAGTATGGAAGACCAACCAGAATACAATTTAGTTGCATTATTTGAGTTCAGCATTGTTCTCCGCTATTAGAGAAGTTAATTTGAGTTTTCAATTTCAACTGAGAAGGGTACCTACAAGTAACAGTATCATCTTATGAAATTTAACTACTGCTAAACTTTAATTTATATGATCTTATTTTTATATTAATCTCAGTTATGACATTTTTCCATAAATGAAATATCAAAATTAATAATAAAATAAATGGAAATACAAATAACACAGTAAAATGTAATAAATGTACATAAAATTATAGTATTTTATGTACATTTTTGATAAAATTTCATAAGAAAGGTACCTAAATTAATTAGATACCTTTTTCTTATGAAATTTAATCTCACTATTAACAGTCTTATTTTTAATTTCTTTTATATTTTCCATAAAGCATCGTAAATGTAAAAATGAAAGCTAAGTACAAAAAAAAAAAAAATAAAATAAAAAATTAGAGCGCTGAAAGTTTTCCTTAAAAGTAACGAGGTAAATAATTTGTTCACTTAAATAATTTCACTTCCTTCCATCCGTAGAAAGAATTACCCTCCCGTAAGTTATCTAAACGTCATGAATGTGCCTTTTGTCAATCGTCAAGCGACGCGAAAGGTTATGACCTGCTTTGTTTTATTTTCAAATTACATTTTTTCGGCGCAGAAGCTAAGTTAAGCTTGGTTCAAAATATTTTAAATAAACAGTATAATATCTGTTTTTATTAAAATCAGTTTTGAAAAAATGATAATTGACTTTTAAAAGAATATCAAAGTAAGATTTTAATCTTTTTACCAAATCGAAAAAATGATTGAAAATGATTAT